AGGGCGCGAACTTGCATTTTCCTCTGGTGAAACTTTCCTCAGCAATTAATTATTTTTTTGTTAATTTAAGAGGAAGGAATTCAATTTTAATTAAATAAAATTTAATTTAAATTTTATAAATAAAAAAATAAATACTGATAAATTTTTTTTTAATAAAATTAAATAATATTCGATGTCAAATTAATTAAATTAATTAAAATGAATGTGTTTTTGAATTTACTACTAAAAAAACCTTCCCTCAGCCGCCGCACAACTAAAGCTGGTCGAAGTCGAACCGTCAAATGCAATCTGGTTCCGAAAAGTTAATGAACCGTAAAAACCCTGGTTAAAAATTTAAACTCGGTAAAACACCACTTAATAAACCCGACCTGTGTCCGTCTATTGATAAAGCTAAGGCACAGTTCGGCCTCAAACTCAGAAGCAGCCATGGCGATCCTCGCGCTCCCGCTAGTCATATCTGTCCTCAAACCTCACACACACCGCCTCTCTCTCCTCCGCTCCGGCAAATCCAGCCCTATCCTACTATACAAGCTTCCCCGGAGCCGTCGCTACTTCAGCGGAGCAGCTGCTTCTGCAAGTAGCACCTCTTCGATTCAACAACAGCATTCCTCAACCGACGCTCAGAAAATTTCCATTCCGACTTTTCAACAGGCAATTCAGCGGCTCCAGGTTGGAATGATTCACGCTTCACATTTGTTGTTACTTTTTTTTGAAGTAATTTTTGAATTTTAAGTTCGGTGATGAAAAGAATCTTAAGCGATTGCGGTTAATTTTGTAGGAATATTGGGCGTCGGTTGGATGTGCGGTGATGCAGTGCAGCAATACGGAGGTAATGCAACATCTCAGCTTAGTTTCAAGTTCATTTGCAGTGCTAGTATGTCTTACTGATGGCTACGATTGTCCAGGTTGGAGCGGGGACTATGAATCCTCTGACGTTTTTGAGAGTTCTTGGTCCAGAGCCATGGAATGTTGCGTGAGTATGCCTATGGGTTGTAGTCTGCATGAATTCGCTTTTTGTGATGCATTGACTTACGTTTTTGTTATTCATTTGTTTGATTGTTTTTGGAGTAGAAACATGCTTGTTTGGTGAATCCATGGATGGAACATAAATATACTTAATGATAGAGGTAAAATGCATCATTGATTTCTTGGAGAAAAAAATTCAGCCGGCATTCAGCTTGCAGATCATTTTCTCGAAAATTGTTTGATGATTGCTAATTTAGATTTCATAGAATGTTTTTAATGAGCGGGTCTAACATTCTACCATGCTTTTTTGATATTTCTGGTTACAATTCATTTTATAGGTACTGCATTGATCTCATTAAATGTGTAAGAATGTGTATAAGGGTTTTCTATGTAATTGCTAATCTAGAGTTTCATATGGAAGGTATGTGGAACCCAGCATTCGGCCAGATGATAGTCGTTATGGGGAAAACCCAAACAGGCTCCAACGCCACACTCAATTTCAGGTCTGTTTAATTTATTATATAGATTGCATTTATGTTTTCCTTCTTATTTATTTATTTATTTTTAATTCTTTGTCTTTGTTTCTATTTGATTTCAGGTTATATTAAAGCCTGATCCGGGAAATTCACAAGACCTCTTTCTCCGTAGCCTTTCTGCTTTAGGTACTGAGTATGCCTCCTTTTCTTCAAATCAATTAACATGTGAATTTTTGAGTGTTTAGTTTATATATTATTCTATAACTTTCAAAAGTCATGTCTACCTCAAATGCTAATGGTTATGCTAATTCTTATGTTATTATGTACCTTAATTCTAATTGAAAATTTGGAGTTGTAGTTGGATTCATGAATATGATATATCATGTAGTCATGGATGTTCCTGTCAAGTTTAACCATCATCTTATTCTAACTATTACTCTGGAACGGTGACATGACAGGTATTGATGTTAGTGAACATGACATAAGGTTTGTGGAGGACAACTGGGAGAGCCCGGTAATTTTATATTCCCTTGGTGTCTTTGATTTTATGTGTGCTTTTTGCAGTGTGTTTTCCATCTTGATGGCTCCTAGTTTTGATCACATCAAGAATATGAGTTTTTTTTTTTTTTTGTGGAAAATTATGGTTACACTGAAATGCTGTCAGGTACTGGGTGCTTGGGGATTAGGTTGGGAAATCTGGATGGATGGCATGGAGATCACACAATTCACCTATTTTCAGCAGGTTCCATCTTCTACTTCTTACATTGCCCAAATCCCCAAACATATTGTTCTCTGTACTCTCAAAGCTATGGCTTTCTCTTTTCAATTGGGAGCTCACAGTGTGGAGATTATATTGTTTTCTCTTGATGTTTAGAAGTTACTGCAGTTTATTGCCTAATTTTCTTTCCCTCTATTTCCCTTTCTCCCTATCAGGCTGGAAGTCTTCAATTGTCACCAATATCTGTTGAAATCACTTATGGTCTTGAGCGTATACTTATGTTGCTTCAGGTAAATTCATTTTAGTCTTCATCTTTCTTCTCTCTTTTTGAATTTGTCAGCCTATTTTAAGTTACCTCATAAATGATATGCAGGGTGTTGATCATTTTAAGAAGATTCAGTATGCTGATGGGATCACATATGGGGAGCTTTTCTTGGAAAATGAGTAAATAAATTAGTGATATTGAATTCTCTCCATTTCAAAAGATATATTTTAGTTCGTAGTTTGTCTCATAATAATTTATAGTTTAATACACATTAATCATGTAAATAATTAAATTCAGTTCTGTCTCTTTTCTTTTTGACCCCATCCTTCACTTATACTTTATATCTTAATCACTGTGATGACCGAATGCTGAAATGATGATGGCTAACAATATAGTTAATTACACTATCAAATTAAATATTTTTGAGTTCTAAAACCTCCATTGTTCAATTTCAGGAAGGAAATGAGTGCATATTATTTAGAACATGCCAGTGTTCACCACATTAAAAAGCATTTTGATTATTTTGAGGAAGAAGCTCGTTCCTTGCTTGCTTCAGGCCTTGCAATCCCTGCGTATGTTTAGCAATGATTGGAAAAATTCTTTTCTTATTTGTATATTTTTTACATTTTCCCTTTTCTTGTTTCCTTTTAAGTTTACATTTGTTCAAAACATGCTAGGTATGACCAGCTTCTGAAGACATCTCATGCTTTTAATATCTTAGACTCTAGAGGCTTTGTAGGTGTAACAGAACGTGCCCGTTATTTTGGTCGGATGCGTAGGTGAGCTTGCTTTTAAGGCTTATGTTAATACAAACTTTCCAGTCTGCAGCGGCAACAAAATAAATTTCTTCATTCATTTTATCCTATTTTTGTGATAATCCTCTCATAAATCATTTATTTGTTGTTGTCTCTTGTTGATTTGTCAGTTTAGCTCGTCAATGTGCACAACTTTGGTTGAAAACTAGAGAATCCCTAGGACATCCTCTTGGTATTGTTTCTGAATCTGTTGAACTCACATGTTCTAAAGAGGCTCTGGAGGCAGCAGTGGGAAAGGTCTGAAGACCTCGGTGACTTGTTTGCATTTCCCTTTTTTTCCTCAGTCTTTCTTAGGAGTTCCTCAAGTCTGTTAGTTTCCTTCAAGGAGATGAGTTTCCTTTAACTTTTATAAATGCATAACCATACATATGCCAATGTTATAGAAATAGATGTGTAATACACGCCTAAATGGCTAAACACCTATCCTAAGATTTGGAAAGTTTCCTTACTTGACAGCTTTAACTTTTTTTTGTTCCAATTGACTGGATGGTGCTGTGTGTTTTGATTTTCTAGGCACCCCAACATACCAAGAATTGTTTAGTTCTTATTTTTTGGAAACAGTGTAATAGTTTTTAACTTCAATAATACTTTCATTTGCAAAAATAGATAAGGTCTAGCCGTTCCATGTGCATTTAGCACATTCTTAAAGTGAGCAAGTCAGTTGATATATAAATCAGTTTTTACCCCAACTGGTATCTTTTGTTTATTCTTTTGCTTGTGTGTAACAGGTGGATGATGCTACTAGGTCATTTGTTCTTGAAATTGGGACTGAAGAGATGCCACCTCAGGATGTAGTTAGTGCGAGCCAGGAAGTATGTATTCTCATCTAATGCATGCATCATTTTTTTCCCTCTTTTTATGCTATTCAGTCTATTCTACATTTTACAGATCATTTATGTTATTCCTACTTTATTCATTTAAGAAATGCATTTATCGTATTGATGCCTTTTCAGTTTACAAGTAGAGTATGCTTGTTGTTTGTTTCATTTATCTTTTAATCGCATGGAGCTTTGATGTGGGGATCTCTGGTTATGTACCTGTCAATCAATAGCGTTAACTAATTGTGTGAATGCATTTATCATATTGATGCTTTTCCAGTTTACTAGTAGACATGCCTGTTTGTTTCATTTATCTTTTAATTGCATGAAACTTTGATTTGGAGATGAAACTTTGATTTGGAGATCTATGGTTATATACTTGTCAATCAATAGTGTTAACTAATGGTGCGATGCTGGTCATTGCAGCTCAAAGATTTAATGTTGCAGTTACTAGAAAAACAAAGACTGAACCACGGTGAAGTTCAAGCTTTTGGAACTCCTCGCAGAATAGTGGTACATCTACTGATTTTCCCTCACTTTGTAAACAGTTGACAATGTCTTGGTTTGCATACTTTTTAAAAATAAAAATGAAATATTTTTTCAATGATAATGTGTCTGAATATTTAAGTGTGTGTGCGCACGCGTGCGTGTCACTGCATGGATCTTGGACTCATGTTTTAGTATTTCTAAGTTCTAACTTATTGCATTTCAAAAAGTTGTAACTTGAGCCTTTTGTGCATTTTCAGGTTTCCATTGAGAGTCTTTGCTCTAAGCAATCTGATAATGAGGTTGAGGTTCGAGGACCTCCTATTTCAAAAGCCTTTGATCAAGAGGGAAGACCAACAAAGGTTTCAGTTTCCTTGTGATTCTGTTTCATTGATTCTATTAGTAGTGATCTTAACAGGTTATTGCTCTTACATGCCACCGTACTCTTAACTCTAGCATTGTAGTTGAGCATTTTCTCTGCTATTTAAAGGAACACTCTTATGATATTTACTATAATCTGCCAGGCTGCTGAAGGTTTTTGCCGCAGATATGACATTTCACTTGACTCATTGTTTCGAAAGGTTGATGGTGAGTCAGTGTATAGATGTGCATAAATACAACTTGTCTGGTATTGTGTGATGAATTAGTCATATACTAAACCTAATCCATCTCACTGATATGTAATAAATGCATTGCAGGAAAAACAGAGTATGTTTATGCTTTCATAAAAGAGTCTGCCCGTCATGCCTTAGAGGTTCTAAAGCTGATCTCTTCTTTTGCTAAATGCATCTGAGAACTTTTTTCACTTTGTTAAGTGAATATTTTTTCTTGACATGACTCTTCATGTAATACAGGTTTTTTTTTTTTTTTTGTTTCTTACCAGTCCATATTCTCCTCCACTCCCCAAACCCCAAAAAAAGAAGAGGAAAAGGCTTAAAATCTAGAAGCCTTTGAAAGGCTTAAAAACTAGAAGCCTTTGAAAGGCTTAAAAACTAGAAGCCTTTGAAAGGCTTAAAAACTAGAAGCCTTTGAAAGGCTATTATACAGTTCAGTCAAATTGTTCCATAAATCTGATATTTTTCAATTTCGTTATCATATTGGGTCTTACACGGGTCTCTTTCTACCTGTGTTCTTTAATTATTCTTTCCTCCAATGAACTCAAGCTCACCAGGTCACCTTTTGCATTTTTTATTTCCTTTTCATTTTAACAACTTTTATATTTTAGATGATCTATTTTAGAAGAAATTTCTAACTGCACCTTTTACTTTACTGTGTTGTTTTAGGTTCTATCTGAAGAGTTACCAGCTACTCTAGCTAAGATATCATTTCCAAAGTCCATGCGCTGGAACTCTCAGGTATTTGCCGTCATTGATCTTATGCTCACATTTATAGCACTGGATATTCTTTTCAAGTTTTGCCTTTATTTCTCCTTTTCTGATCTATCTTTGGTGCTCTAGATTGTATCAATTTTTTATTTTTTTTCCTGGCAAATTATGATCCCTCAAACTTTCAGTAAGTCTGTAAATTGGTCTAAGTAGTTGAGCTCAAACGGGCCAGTCCTTCTTGGATCTAGTTTCAGTGATGTCCAGGACTAAGCCATTTCTTTAGCTTTATGTTTAGCTTGTTGTTGCTCAAGATAATCTAGTTATCCTATAATAGAGAGATAATCTTTGGAGATAATGTCAGTTTGCAGTTAGCTTGGGAAATAGAAACTAAAGATTTCGTTGATCATGTTACAGAACTATCTTATAAGTTTCAAAATGCTGTATTAGATAATCTTGAAGAATCTAGATTTTTTTTTTTTTTTTTTATGAATTTATTATAAATTTTATAGATGTGTTATTTTCTTTATTTCCATAATAATGTAGGTTATGTTCAGCAGACCTGTACGTTGGATTCTGGCAATCCATGGAGATGCAGTTATTCCATTTGTGTTTGCTGGAATTTTGAGGTTATTATCATTAACTTTATTCATTTCTTATTTCTTGCTTCCTCTCTTTCTCCTTGCAACCACTTGGTTTGTTGTATATAGGATGAGTGACATTATTGTTGGATGACAGTTCATCAAATATCCATTTATTCATTTTTTTAAGTGTCATTTGCTGATCTGGGAATAGTTTTTTGTTTTCCTTTAGTTTCTAATTCCTGTTTTCAATTCTAATCTGCAGTGGAAACCTATCTTATGGTCTGCGAAATACACCCTCAGCTACAATCATGGTATGTACTCAAACTTATTTGTTATTTTGATCAGCATTCCATATCTAAGGAATATAAAGAAATCAACATACCCGACACTGTTCAGTAGTCTGACTGATTTTATTTTACCGTACTTTGTTAGACATCTTTCCTTTAATAGGCATGCATCCTTGATTCAATGAGTACTTCTGGTTAGATAAGATCAAAAAGGTCACTAAATATTTTTTCTTTACTAAGAAACACCATCCATTTTCATTTCTGTTGCTTGTTTGTTATTATGATTAAAATATGGCTTCACATAGATCTGTTATACTTTCCACAGATTAAAAGTGCAGAATCTTATGCTTCTGTAGTGAGGAATGCTGGAATTAGTATTGAAATTGAGGTATCACAAGTTCACAACTATGCTCAAATAAGTGATCTTTTGTTTCTGTCTTTATTACTTAACAAGTGAATTGAACAAAGTAATTATGGACAGAAAAGGAAGAAAAAGATATTGGAGTGCTTAAATGCATTAGCAAAAAGTGTCAATGGAAATGCTGTTATTCAGGAAAACTTACTAAATGAGGTAAGCGTGGAGAGCTGACGGGGAGTTTTATATGCTGAATTAACAAGAAAACTTTTCTGAGAATCTCTTCCTCATAATATTTTAGGTTGTGAATCTTGTTGAGGCACCTGTTCCAGTGCTTGGAAAGTTCAAAGAATCCTTCTTAGACCTTCCAGAAGATCTTTTAACTATGGTAAGCAGTTTTTACACTGAGAGCTTTATTTCATAATGGAATTTAATTTTTACTTAGGTTCTTTGACTTTGAACATGTAACTGAGTCTTGGGCATATACAGCCCTCCACTCACATTTTCAAGGCAAGAATTAAGATATTTCAATAAATTGTTGATTGCTGCATGTCAATCCAGGTTATGCAGAAGCACCAGAAATACTTTGCTGTTATTGATGATAATGGAAGGCTGTTACCATACTTCATTGCTGTAAGATTTGAGTGCTGAGTACCTACAGTTTTTAACTTAACTGCAACTCTTTAAGGAGCATTTTGACCTTATAGTAAACTGGGGTTTCTTTTAGGTGGCAAATGGAGCAATCAATGAGATGGTGGTAAGGAAAGGAAATGAAGCTGTTCTCAGGTTGATACTAATCTTATTTGTCTGTTATTTTTTTGCATAGAAATTGAAATTGGGCATTATAGCATCCCTTAAAAATTCCTCTAAATACCATTAGAAGGTTCATATGTGATTCATGTTGAAAGCCTTCTAAACTCCAGTTTTTTTCTTGCATTAGTCTGACTTAAACTTTCTTTGGGGAAAATTTCTCTCACATTATTGTTTGTCTCTGATAGAGCATAAACAATGAGCCAAGCATTTAATTATTTTTTCAGAGCTCGCTATGAAGATGCAAAGTTCTTCTATGAGATGGATACACGTAAAAAATTCATGGATTTCCGTAGTCAACTTAAAGGAATTCTTTTTCACGTAAGCTATTTTATTTTTATTTAACTAGTTTGTTCTTTATGTTTTTCATTGATTATTTTTCAAATTTAAATATATGCAATAGATGGGTATTTTACCTGAATATTCAACGTAGTTAA